TATATATATATATATGTGAAAAAAGTTTCTTCAGTATCTACACAGACAGTAAATAAAACATTCACAGTGTAAGTGCTGCACAAAGTACTACAGTTACTAAAATAATGGCCTCCCATTATTTTTGCTGGGCAGGTGTAATGCTGAGAGCGAGGAGGACAGAAGAGTCATTGCCCTTCAGTTGGATAGAGACCACCATGCTCTGTTCGTGGCGTTCTCCAGCTGCGTCATTAGAATTCCTCTGAGTCGGTGTGAGCGTCACGGGTCTTGTAAAAAGTACGGCCCCGTTCCTGAACTCCCCCTTAAGGAAGGGCACCAGCATCTCTTGGGAAGGAAGTGAAAAATGCATGATTTTTTTTGGGTCTTTTTCTTTTGCAAGGGCGTGTATTGCTTCACGGGACCCGTACTGTGGCTGGGTAGACCATGAGGCATGTGGAAGAGTGACACCGGGCATGCTGTAAGTACTCCTTTCCAAATGAGCCCAACGCCTCCGTATGCTTTATAGACCACATGAGCTCTTATCCTATGCCTGTTCCCTTGCACTCACTTAATAAATTTGCATTTTTTTAAGATGGTTTTTCAGTGTATACTGTATGTAAGAGAAGAGAATGCTAAAGTCTGACCCAGTTCTGCAGTCTCTAGGTGAAGACTTGCTTTCAGGGTGAGGTTTACATGTGTGAGGGAAGACAAGCAGACCTGTAGGAAGAGTGTTGGAAGCAGGAAGGCAAGAAATTGCTGCCTGCAAACCTGAGCAGCTCAGAGAGGACAACACACAGTCTCGCCTCCCAGGTGTGCTCGCGGCCAGGGCACAGTCAATTGCAAATATGAAAGCACAGGATTCACAGTGGGAAGAGAGTAAGATTTGCCTCCACGCTGGAGCTTGGGTGATATATATGCATACCAAAGGCATTTTGCACAAATCAAGTCTGTAATATACAGTGCATTAGCAGCTGTATCTTAAAAAGAGGCCTTTGTAGCAGGCCAGTGCAAACTTTAACTAGTATAATCAGACGGTTGTATCTAAACCCAAAAGCATGCCCAGTATAGAAGACATGACGAAATTGCTGAAAAAGGGGATTTTTTTTTTCCCCATTATTTTATTATCTATTTCCTGGCATAAGCACATATAGAGAGAGTTCTAAAGCCTGGCTATAACTGACTAGTGCATTTTGTAAAACACTTTCTTGGGCCATACACTAGCTCTTGTTATTGTTTCCATTTGCTGCTTCCAGAAAAAGAAAAAAAGTCACCCTTTGTTTCCCTACTGATACTGTTAATTGCAGGTTCTCTTTGTTTGTTTCATACAACCACAGCACCGGAGGATACGTACAAGATGTCGAGTACGGCAACACAGCGCAGCTTGGGGACTGCCACGGTAAGGCACAGTCGTTGCTGCTCCTCTGCGATGTCTTGACAGTAGTCTCTGGCCACGCCTCACTGTGGATGTTAAATTTATAATGAGCTTTTCAGTAAGATGATGAACACATCACTGTGATTGTTCACAGAGCTGAGCTTTTTGGTCCTGGGTGGCAGAGTTTTGTCTTTTCTTCGCCAATTTACAGCTATTTGGGGTCTGCAGCAAAGTACTGAAGAATTTATTTTTGTAAGCAGTAATATTTTAGTTCTTATTTTCCATTACTCAGGTTTGAGATCTTTTGCTTTCTTTTTGTTACTTTTTACTGATTACTTGTTCCTTTAATTCTTTTAGAAATTTTGCCTACTACAGCTACACCAGATTACAAAATATTTGGCGACCCAACATCTGGTTAGTTTTTTTTAATTTTTTTGAATTAATGACCTTTACTTTCCTTCAGTTCAGCATTTTCAGCCCTTTTTTCCTTCCTTTTGCACAGTTGGCAATCCTCCATTTTTGTGCTTTTACTCATGTTCCCACTGATGGTAAAGATAGTCAGACTCTTCTCACTCAGCACTTCACCCTGTGTAGCTGCATGTTAACAGCTCATTATTTATTGGGACATCTTTTATTAAAGAGCTTGATTAACATAGATGACATCTTCACTGCTCGAAAGTCCACTAAGCTTTACTCTTTATCCCCAGCCATGCATTTGTGAATGCCCCTATTGGTCATCTCTAGTAGATGAATGGCAGAATTTCATCATCTTCCTCCTTACCTCTCCTTTCCTCTTTGCCTTCGTTCCCAGCAAGCTTTTTGCACAAATACACATTTTCTACAATGTGTATTTATATATTTTTGAAATGTTTTAAGTAGCTTATGCTAATGGAAAAAAATTTAACATCACAAACTGTGTAGCTGAATGAGGACTTGAGTAGACAAAGGTGGCTTAGAAAAACCTTTATGCATTATTATCAGATGGACTTTCACATCCTTTTCTCCTTCAGTGCTTTTTCAAACGATGTTTTCACCATCAGCCCCTGGTGTGAAGGGAGGTGGGACCCCCAGTGCTCCTCCACTGAACTCAAAAAGCAGAACCTGTGTTGACTTCAACAGGAGCAAGACTGAACCCTTATTTTCCAGTCTTTGCGCCTTGGAACCTGGGTCTCTGCTTTCAAACCAAGGGCACGTTTTTGACTGACAAATATGAAAACAATCTATTGATACATTAAATTGGTAAGGGTGCAACAAGAACAAGAAGGCTATTTTGTGTTTTGGTTTCTGATATTTGCACTTCTGTAACTTGGCAAGAAGTAATGTTTGAGACAAATATTTTCTAGATATATTTACCCATAATGTAAGGTAGAGACTCACTTAGGAAAGCAAAACAAACCAAAACTGTGTTACATGGAAACGCTGCCTTGCTTGCATGAGTGTTTATCAGCTGCATTTTCAAAGTGATATATTAGAACACAGATACAACTGAGCCTTATTTTCAAGTCCTGAGCGAGTGTGCTTTTGAAGTACATATCTCAGTCAGATCTTGAGCCATAGACATTCATGCCTAAACCTGCTGGGACAGTGAACACAATACTTGAGTGTGCAAAGCAGACTTTGGATTGTAACCCCAATTCGATGTGTTTCCTCCTCATGTGCATTTTCACGTAGGCTATGGTGGTTCTGTTCAGCAAATGTACTACAGAGGAGGCAGAATCTATGCAACATTGTTCCTTAAGAACCATTACAAAACAGGGGTTAAAACATTCCTTTCATCCCCACCTGTAGAAATGGCTCATTCAGCAGTTCCTGGTATACCCTAATAGCGCTCCTGGAGCCGATCTGGTTTCTCAGGTGTAACCTGTCAGGAGTGTGGATCTTTCCAAGTAACTTTTTTTTTTATTGATGTTTAAAAGGCAGCCAAGTGTGTTGTCTCCAGTGAGGAACGTCGCAATTAAGTAAAATAAGTTGTGCTTTTCACCTGCACCAGTTGCTTACTTTAACTTTTGCACTGCTTTCATGTTTGACTTCTGGCTTTTTTTGGCTAGCAGCTCTTGATGTTTTAATGTATTTTTTTTGTTTTGAACCAATTGTTTTTAATCAGCCCTCTCTACCTCTGCAGAGTGTAGGGGGTCACATTTTGCTCTGACTTGTAACTCCCTTTACGTACTGTCTCCAGCTATAGCTTAGATGTACCATGAAACACATTAATAAAAATCTGTTTGCCACCACAGACATGAAGTTCTCCTCAGCTTCCATTACCACAATGGCAAGTATCCCAGTTATATCACCCAAAGTGATTGGTTCCTGGAAACCTAAAGTGACTGGCTCTCGGAAATTTGTAGTTCAAGATGACCCAAACACTTCTGATTATTCTGATCCATTATCAGGTGTCCCAAAGGGTAAGGCCTTACCAGGGAATACATTGTAGCTGAATGGAAACCTGATAGTCTCAGCATTGTCTAAGGCTTACATGTAAGAGCCATGATTGTTAGGCTGTATTTTACACCCATTTCCTGTGAATATGCAGACAGTGCAATCATGTTTTTCATACCTACTTAGCCGGTGTACAAAGTGCTGCTTAGAGCTTATAATGGGAAATACAGGTAATAAGCTCAGCCTTTTATTCCTGGGGTGCTCCAAAGCTCCCATTAAAATCAGTAGGAGTTCTGGATGCATTAAAAAAATTACATTCAAGACTTCTCTGCAGTTCTGGTGGTTGTTTTCAAACCAGTCTCATTTGGATAAGACTGTTGGTGCTCATGATTGGTTGCTTACAAGAGCTTAAGGAATGGGGAGTTGGTTCTTTGGTTGGTTTGGAGTGGCAGAACAGAAGACAAAGCACAGGTCCATGGGAGATCCACGCATTAAGGGGGGTGCATTCCAGACTTTGCCTGCCTTTAGCACCATTCTGAAGAGCATGGGTCAGATCTGAGTAAGCATGTGATGAAATTTTAAGCTGTGGCTATGAGCATCCGTTTACAGATGATCTCAGTACATAGTCAGACACAGGTTTTAACCTGAACGCAAGGAGAAGCATATTCTGCTTATAACTCATCTATCTGTAGGCATTCTTTCAGCTAAGTGAAGCTTTGATTAGGCACTTACAGCAACAAGGGGTTTAATTCAGCAGTACTACTGCGGTCAACCAAAGAATCAGGAAGCTTCTGCTCCCATAACAAAGACTTAACCCAGGTCTTCATCAGTACACAGCATAGCCAGGTGACAGACATGTTTGCACAATTCTGTATTTACTGAAAATCTCACCAGCCAAAAACCATTTGTGTTTTATTACCATTCACCAAAACATATCAGGTTTCCTATCAGCCATTATGGCAGTGCATTTGTCATTTTAATTTGTTGCAGTTATTTTCCATTTTGCTTTAAGTTTTTGTTATCATTTGCTCTTGTGTCATAGCTAATAGTGAATTTTACTCATGTTTTCTTTCTTCCGCACAGTGCCATTAAAACCTATAACCCTGAACATTAACAATGTTCAAAGGCCTTGCCTCTAACAAAAGTAAATCTGTTCCTTCCTCTTGCTCTTTCATTTTAACATCCCTTGGGATAGTTAACAGAATTACTTCCATTAAAAACTAACATTGTCTTAGCTGCAAGATGTCTGTGGTTGCTTTAAAAAAAATCTCAGAAAACAAAGGGAGCTTGTTAATACACAAATAAAGAACTAATCCAATCTGTGACTTCTTAGCTAAAAGTTTTCTAAATTTTAACATTCTCTAATAACTTAACCTTGCAAAATGGGGGGTTTTAATGTTATACAAGTACTTACGTTCATTATTGACTAAAAGGAAAGAAAAATTAGTGCTCTAGTAGAACACCATAATCTGGAACTTCCATAGCTGCACATTTATGTAATGCAAGGTGTGCCACTCCAAGACTAGCAACCTGTGGCTGTGCTCATTTACAAGTTCTGCACCATAGTGCATTAACATAGTTATCACAATGCAGCATGTACACAATACAGTTTTACACAACATTTGCATAATCCTGTCTCTCTTGCTACTGATTTATGAGTTGGGCAGAAAATTGAGAGAGAAATCTGTCCATGTTAGTAATTGTTTTCTGGCCCAGTAGCACCTTCCAACCTTAATTTTCCAGCCGAAATCATTAATGTTAATAACATACAGGCCCTTGTTTGCAAGCCTTAAAGGAAATTCGGGGGCAGGCTAAACAGAAAGTCATACAAGGAGAGAAGCTTGGACAAGAACTTCTTATTATAAAAGAAAATGGACAGTCTTTGTTTAGACTGCTCAATGCTCACACATTTTTATTTAGGAAAGTATTTGCATTCAGCAGTGCAGGATCCAGCTGAGTTACACAGAGCACTTACAAACACTTCATACACGCAGCCCTGAGGGAGGCTACATCCTTCTAAATGTATCTGTATGAACTGCGCCTAGATTTATGATATGCTGCATGTCTTTTGCAGGTGTAAGGTGGGAAGTACAATCGGGAGAGTCCAACCAAATGGTACATATGAATGTCCTTATCACTTGTGTCTTTGCCGCTTTTGTCCTGGGAGCCTTTATTGCGGGAGTGGCCGTTTACTGTTACCGGGATATATTTGTACGGAAATCCAGAAAAATACACAAAGATGCAGAATCTGCTCAGTCCTGTACTGACTCCAGTGGGAGCTTTGCTAAACTGAACGGGCTCTTTGATAGTCCTGTCAAGGAGTATCAACAAAACATTGATTCACCTAAACTTTACACAAACCTGTTGACTAGCAGGAAGGAGTTGCCACCAAACAGTGATACGAAGTCCATGATGATGGACCACAGGGGCCAGCCTCCGGAATTAGCTGCGCTCCCAACTCCTGAATCTACACCTGTTCTGCAACAAAAGACTCTGCAGGCTATGAAGAGTCAGTCGGACAAAGCACTTGGTAACCTCAATGCTTCACGAAAGGAAACGCCGCTAAAAAGCCCTCAGTTTTTCCCTTCCAGTCCTCCACCCCACTCCCCTCTAAGTCACGGACATATCCCTAGTGCTATCGTACTTCCCAATGCTACCCATGATTACAATACATCTTTCTCGAATTCTAATGCACACAAGGCAGACAAAAAGATGCAGCATCTTGATCACCCACTTACAAAACCGTCCAGCAAAAGAGACCACAGGAGATCTGTTGATTCCAGGAATACCCTGAATGATTTTCTGAAACACTTAAATGAAACTACTGGTAATCCCAAAGCAATTATGGGAGATATTCAAGTGGCCCACCAGACTTTAATGCTGGATCCAATGGGAAATATGTCTGAGATCCCACCTAAGGTTCCCAACAGGGAAGCATCCTTATACTCTCCTCCATCAACTCTTCCGAGAAACAGCCCCACAAAACGAGTGGATGTTCCCACCACTCCTGGAGTACCAATGACCTCTTTGGAAAGGCAGAGAGGTTATCACAAAAATTCTTCACAAAGGCATTCAATATCTGCCCTTCCTAAAAACTTAAACTCACCGAATGGTGTTTTGTTATCCAGACAGCCTAGTATTAATCGTGGGGGGTACATGTCTCCTGCGGCAGGCACAAAGATGGACTATATGCAAGGGACGCCTGTTAGTGTTCACCTCCAGCCTTCCTTGTCCAGGCAAAGCAGTTACACGAGCAACGGCACCCTTCCTCGTACAGGAATAAAGAGGACATCCTCCTTAAAACCCGACGTGCCACCAAAACCCTCATTCGTTCCTCAGACAACTTCAGTCAGACCACTGAACAAGTACAGTTACTAGGACACGTCTGTGCTAAAAATGAGTGTGGCGTTGACCTGTACAGGTTGTGAGATGATGTTGTGGTAGACACAGAAGACAGAGACTTGCTTGTTATTACAGAGAACAAAGTGGCCAAAGAAACTGTCTTTACTTCAGTAACATTTGTGTCTTGCCACATGTAGCTGTAGCAAGACTTCGCGTACTTGCTAAGAGCAAACACAAAAAAACAAAGGAAAGTGCTGGTCATTACATTTCTTTTGTTTGGAGCTAAGGAGACATGTAGCACAATGGGGTGGGGGCTACTTTACTGTTCTGAATAGCTAAAAAAAAAGTTACTGGGAAAAAATCAGTAAGCAAATACTTGAAAAATGGGTTCCATTTTAGACTGCCATTAAGCGTGGTCCTTCCCATTAAATGTGAACGTTTTACTATGTATGCATTCACCTTGCCTCTTGCACAAATGTCGGAAAACGGTAATGTCTCAATGAATATCTGGGTTAATAATCAATTTTCTGGAATTCAGTCTCTGGCCCAACTGTAGCATTATTATTTTTTTCTCTTCATGTGTGTGGCATTTTGTTTGTGCCACAGATAAAGCTGTGCGTGTGTGTGGATGTGCGTGTGTACTGTACACACTAGGATGTACTTAGATTCCCATTGCATCTTTTATGCTATGGAATTGTTTACATTGAGCATGACTGAACAAAAGATGACTCTGCCTTCTGCAGCCCCTTGGGTTCCGTTTGGAGACAGCTAAGGATGAACTGCACATCTCTGCCAGCCTTCCGAACACTACCGCCTCGATGAGCTAGTCCCCCAGTGAAAGAGCGCAGATTGTTTAATTCTTCATAACTCTGTTATGCTGCTATTGATTCACAGCTGTGCATTTCAAATCTAGTGTTTTGGGCTGGAACGGAGGAGTTGTTGCGCTGTGTTTCCACAGTGCCTCCATCCAGTACCTGGCCACTGTGAACTTGTGACCCTGTACTTCTCATTGAGGGCAGCTAATAATCAATCCACTTGGCAAAGGCCTGTGTAACTAGAGAAGGTTACGTTTTTGTTGCATTTAATAATGCCCTACACGCTGATAGACTCTTGTCAATAAAAAGAAGAAACATTAATTGGCCTGGCAGAAGCAGTCTGTGAAAACTCAACAGTAGTGCAATCAATTTGTTTTTGTTGTGTAATGTAAGGTTTGTTTTTTTTTTTTCCAAAGTCATGCAGGTAATGACAATATTCTGTAAATATTATGTGTGAGTTTACCTGAATCTGTGCATTTTGTGCCTTATTCATGCAAATGATAAAAGTACTAAAAAAATAAATGAATCTGTCAAGTGTTCTCACTATAGCACATATCTCCCGAGTGCCAGTTGTAAAACCTCTCAACAGCACCCAAAAAAAAAAAAAAGATAAAAAGCAAGAATAATTAATGGTAACTAAAGGCAGCCTACAATCCAAGAAGACAGCAGCATTAAATCACCTTACCATGATAAACATTCCACTCCAGCTCTCTGAAGGATCAAACACATATAATGTGAAATCAAATGAGGTTTCTAGGGTAATGGAACACCTGCTAAAGTTGTGTAAGCTATTTAGTAGGTTTTACAGTATCCACTTGCAGCTGATGTTCAACACAGATGGCTATTTTAGCTTGCAAACTACACACTACCACATTGTTTATTGAACATAAGTATAGAAATAACCACGGCAGAGGAATATTCATGAATTAGTGGGACAAATAACTGCAATGGGTTTCAGAGACGGTGGAGATTTATATTATGTGTTCAAGGGGGAGAAAAGGTTAGTCACTGAAGAGAGGATCTCTGTTACAGAACAAAGAATAGAGGATAGAAGTAGTCATTTTTTTCTTGTAAGGCTGTAAGGGACATTTATTTCCCGAGACCTCTGGATCCAAAAATCAGTGATCTCTCTTCCTAAACACTTCTGTCCTGCAACTAAAACACTACAGATTAATAACTATTAAAAATGTACTTTGTTGTCAAAAGACACAAACTGATCCGAATTCACTTTACAAATATTAATACAGACGTGTGTGAAACCGAACGATAAATGTATGTGAACCCTGATAACCTCCTGTAACATTGTGCTGCCTTGTAGATGGTAATGTGAGTTCTCTCAGTATTTATGTTGAAATTTCTAACATTCAACCTAGTCCTTATTCTGTTAATTTAATAATAAAAGATGCTTTATCCATTTGTGCAAAGGTAAACGCAGATTGTATCTTTTTTAATGGTACGGCATAAAAAAAAGTAACCCTTAAATGAAGCTGCTCTATACTATAGAGTACTTTAACATGTATAGATATCTTGTAAACTTGTATTGTGGATGTGTAAATAATACGTTCTTTGGGTTTTTAACACCGCATGTAAAGTCAAAATAAAATATTCCAATGTACCGAGTGTCTGATTTCATTATTAGTGAAGCTGGTTTTGTTGTTGGGATTACAGTGGAGAAGCTCTACCTGCCTTTGTAGCCGTGTGACTGGGGCACAGGAGCATCCTCTCATCGGCCTCTCCGGGGACTTGCAGAGGTGGACAGCGACGTGCACAGGGGTCCTGCCTTCTTCCTGCAGCCACAGGCTGCCGCACGTGGTCTCCAGGGTGACTTTCAGCCTCCTGCATTAACTATAAGATGTCAGAGTAGCCGGTGTGCAGCCAGTGTAGCGCAGAGCCAGGGGTGCCCAAATGACACACCAACAAGACGTGTCATTTCACTGACCCTGCAAACACACAACACGTGCCCATAGGACGCCTTTACTGGTGCTTGAGCCAGGTTTCAGCTGGGCTCCGGCTCCTCTGAACTTTTCTTGTTAAGGTGAGAAGGACCCCAGTTTTGTGCAAATACAGTGCAGTTTGGAAAGAGGATCGTGTGCTCCTTCTAAAGTTCAGGCTACACAAAGAGATAACTCTTGGCAAAATTAATTGCAGACTCTAAGCATTCCTAAAGGCCTACTAATGCTTGATAACTGAAATTCGTGTTTCAGACAGACAGTAAAGCCCAACAGAAATACACATGCCATACCCTGAGCACGTGCCAACATCACATGTAATTTTAAAATAATCAGGGCAATTTAGTATCAGAAAACAAATATAATGTAGTCTTTTAATTAAAAGTTGATTTTAGATAATGGATAAAAATGATTTGTTAGGAGATGATGCTGTCAAGATAATAATTTGAAATTACAGTGCATGTTTTAACAATATAATGGCACCCAGTTGTATCTTACTAAAAAAATAGGTATCTTTTAAAGGAAAAAGGAGCATAGTGCTACAAAATACAAAAACCAACCAACCAAGCCTGTAATGGTCAATATGTGTCTTTTCTAGTGCAGAAGCCAATTGAGATTTCTTTTTACTGGGGATGAGGTGGTGGGTGGAGGGATGTTATTGGATGTCTTTATATATGAACTTACTTTATATATGTCTCTGTGTATGAACACCTATAGCTGTTACATGTTACAAGCCTGTGCTGCTTTTCCACTTCAAAATTAGCCCTGCCTGTGCCATGAAGGTGTCAGCCGTAAGGCTAACGGGGCTCCCTCTGGGAAGGGGCACTTCCATTTGGAGCACACCCACTTGAACAGTTTTCAGTCACACGTGAAGGGTCATGATGACAAATTACAAACAGTTGTTTTAGTGACATATAAATGGGCATCGACAACACAAATGGTGGAGTATTTTTGTTCAGGAAATACCTGTATTCTACATAAAAAGTGTCAAGTGACCGCTGTCTGCACTTGCTTGTTTTGGTCTGTATTGAACCAGCCTCCCTTAACCAGAGCACTGTGGTGGCTAGATGGGCCTAGCCAGGCAGTCATCTCTCCTGACGTGGTCTGCCTGGCTACGTGGTGGCAGAAATCTATGAAACCAAATACTCTTTGTTAGAAAAGCAAGTACAAGAAAAGCTCTCCCTTTACTAACAGAGGGAACATGGCAGCCAAAGGCTAACCAGCTACAACAGCAGCTTTTAAACTGCTTTGTTTGCAAAGATGATGCCAAAGCAGCCACCTGCAGACTCTCCATTCTGAAAGGGAACTGCAACAGCACGAGGCTTAGCAAGAAAAGAAATGAAAGCAATTCCAGATTTTAACCCTCGGGTGCTCTCCTGGGGCAGTTGGTTGGGTTTAGGTGTCCTAAGGTCTCTTGCAGAACGCTCTGGAGCCACAGCATTAGCTGATGAGCGAGCGCAGGAGGGTGCTTGGCGCTGGTGGGCAGGAACATGCTGGCCAGGGGAGGTTCCTGGACCTGAGCCGGGGGCTGGTCGGAGCGCTCAGGGCTGCGGGAGCACACGGTGGAGTGTGGAGGTGCAGGCGAGGCGCCCGCTCATCTCTGCCTTGCTCTGGGTTTTCTGGGGGAAAAAACATAAATAATTTGGTACATAACACAGACAAGTAAAGAGACAACACGGAGACAAAGGGCTGCGGGCCCACAGCAGTGAGGTGACTGCAACAAAGCCAATTTGTAACGCCGTCAGCAGTTATCTATGCCTATGCTGCCAGCACAAACCTATGGCCTTTTAAATTGGGGGCCTTAAAGTAATCAGAGTAGTTACCAAAATCAGGCTGCCTCTGTCTTAGTGCTGTCTTGCTCATGCTCACTCTGCCACCCTGGGAAGATTATGCAGGGTTTATTCAGTATGATGGACCCTCACAAGGCAGTGCTCCCGGCTGGAGCATGTGCAGTTGGTCTGTGTGTAATGTTTTCCACTTATGAAGGTTTTCTTGGTTTTCCTTCTCCCTCTGTGATTCTGAGCATCAGCAAGGGCATCCTGCAGGTAAATAAAAAAAAAAAAATCCCTTCCCATCTGGGAAAGGTTAGCACCTGCAGGAGTGGGGAGGAGTCGGTCGGTATTTCCCCAGGTCCCTGTTAATTTCATGGGATGGAAAGATGTTTTTTTAAAAATTGATCCCAACAAAATACCTCACAAATGTGGCAAATGGACCTCAGCAGGGGTGCACGGGCTTTGCGCAGGAAAGGCAGCACCAGGAGACCAACCTACCAAGACCGCATTTGTTCAAATATCATCGTATCACAGCACGAAAGAGCAAGAAACCAAAGGATTTGGGAGGAAAAGAAAAATTAAATATTTAATTAGATCGAGCTTTGCTCAGAGAACTGGAGAGTGTCTCCTTCTTATTCAATCCTACTGAAGTGCAACTGGTGTGAGGGCCTGCCTCTGGACCAGCCGCTGCTGCCTGCAAACCTTTTTGTAGGCATATTGCATTGGCCTGACACACATCTGAAATCATAATGTGTCCTGGAGCCTCGACTGAGGAACTATTTCTGCTCTGCCTGAAATGAAATTTATTGGGAGCTCTCATTTTATTAGTGCATTCTGAATTCATCCTATGACCTGATTTATGGGCTGCTTGCTTGCTGTTTTCCTACAGTCACCAACAACTTTTCTGAGCTCTACTCACTGAGATCCTAACTAGATCCAAGTCTGTGTCCTGCAGCAAAGGCTGCTGACCAGAGCAGGCGGTCACCGTGTTTAGGTAGAGCTATTGAATTCCTTGGGTCGCAGTGGTGATGCTGCATCCTCTCTGCCAGCCCCTTGTCTGGCAGTCCTGCCTCTGCCCCTCCTGCCAGACAGAAGAGTGTTGCTCAAGCTCCTGCAATACTTTAAGGGTAGGGAAGGAGAAGAAAACCTGCCACATGGACAAGCTGTCCTGACCATCGACAGGAACGGTCCCTATTTGTCAACAAATAAGGAAGTTTACAACAGGAAAACTTGCACGGCCAAAAAAACCCCAAGCCCAAACCCCCCCTGCACCCATGTTGCTGTGCTTGCTTTGTGAATCACAGCCTGTTTTTCTAGGGCAGAGTCTCTCTGACTTACACAAAAATAACAGTTCTCAGTGAAGGCCCTTCTGCAGGATTATACCTGGCTGTAAGAGCTGTTTTGTAACTTCTTCCAGTAGCTGACCTTAAACATTGGCAAAGGGAGCCCATGAGCTAACTGGTTTGCTCCTGCAGCTGAATGACAGCCTTTAACATATGTCTATTCCTGCACAGAAATGGATGGCTGCCTAGCGAGAGAAGAAAGCTGGCAATTGGCTTTTAATTTGGGTCACTTTAAGCACAGGCTTATTTCTCAAATCTTTGATTTACACCACTGGCCTCACATGAAGGAAAACTAATCAAAAGTAAATCAGAGCAGATGAATCATAAAAGCCACGCACAAGCTGGCTGTGCCTTCCCTGTCTGCGCAGTGAATATCCACCTGATTATGCCGATTTCCTCAGGAATACATGTTGGTCAATTAACAGCTTGAGGTTTTTTTGTTACGGACTAATGGCAAATTTTTATAATCAGGCCATGCTGTATGAGCCATTAGTCACAGATTATTGTGCCCGGCCAGCGATGAGGCGAGCGAGAAGCACTTCCAATAATAATGCTGGATGTGAGAATTGATTTCTGTGAGAGCTTGTGCACGCAGCTCTGCCATTCAGTCCCTGTCACTGTTAGCGAGGTGAAATACTGACTCCACCGCAGGAGGTGGCAGAGCTGCATGGGGCCAGGCCTTCACCTCCATCACTCAGACATGCCCAGAAAACAAATGCTAAGGAGGTGTGGGCACGGCCAAAGCAAAACGGGATGCGCATCTGCAGGAAAGCATTTGCTGGAACAGGACAGAGCCCTGGCATCATCTCTGGCCACATTTGTTTGATAAGGACATCAAGGCTTCAGAGTAAGAAAAACGTCTCTGCTTTTTCTGGGTTTTGGAGGGGTTTCCTGCAGGTACAGCAATGGGAGATGAACAGGCTTGCTTAGGCCAGCTGACATTTTATTTGTGAAAGAGAGGTGCGGAGACCTCTCTTGCCATCCCTGGACTACAGCGTGCGTGGCGGTGGGTTTGCCTGGTTTTACGTTCACTAGAAAAGCCCAACATAGATGACACTCAACTGGGACATAAGGCACCAAACGCCAGGCTCCCAGGCACAAGAGAAGAGCTATGTAAAGGTGCCCACTGAGCTCACTGGTACTACCCTGTGGGGAGCTGCTTGTGCTAACAGGAGCAGAAGAGAGTGTTTTGTGGTGGTGTTTTCACTTCTGTTGGTAACACTCAAGTAAGGGGCATCAAAAT